CCCACCACTTGTATTGTGATGACAACAAAGTAAATTCATTTTATAAAAAGGGTGAGAATCTGCTGGAAAACGCCCTTCACTGTGAAGCTTTGCTGCAACACGTGGAGCCTTCACAGAGACCTGACCATTGTTTCACCTCTCGCTGCCTTCTGTCACTTCTTTGCAGCAGGCAGAGCTGACACGAGCAGACCTGCCTCCGCTGCCACCTCTGCTGTCAGCACTGAGTCAGCGCTCGCCCTTCTCCAGCTGCCCCAGTAGCAGCTGGGATATTTCCAGGACACTGGAGTTACTGCCCTCAATAAATGGAACTGCCACTGGGGGAATGCTGTCCCTGGGAGAGCCTTCTGTAGTCAGAGGAAAGAGCTTAAGCATCAAGAGGGCAGGGAAAGGTATAGTGGTTTTCTACCCAGGGGAGTTTTGTGAGGCACTCCTGAGCAAAATGCAGCAGTCCGGGAGCTGCTTTCTGTGAGCTTTCAAGGGAGGAGCTCGCTCAAGGAGGATCAGGTGATGGGGAGACACCTCACAACACAGATTGTCCCCCAAACAAGCAAACCCAGCAAGGCTTAAGGTGAGATCCAGATGTGCTCATCCTCCATGCAGAGCTGAATCTCACCTGCTTGGTCGCTCTTTCCAAGTCACACATCTCATAAAGCAGTAAGAAGGAGAAAACATTTTTGTTTATTTCCCTTTATATTTCTTTTTCTTTTAATAATGACTGCTACAACAGTTAGCTGAAATGCTGAGGAGCAGCTGCAATATCAGAAATTATTTTTACCTCGTTATAAAAATGTATCCTTTTTAAAGGGAGAGAGGCAGAATGGAGATTAGAGGTTCTAGTGCTTTGTCGGGTGTTACTTAGTACCTGTGGATCATTACATTGATAAAAATATGTACAGACTCACTTTTCAGGTTTAAAAGTGTTTTGTCCTTTTGTTTGCTTAGCTAAATAAAGAGGTTTTGTTTGACCTGTGATTTTGAATCCAGCTGGCTTTTTAATATACGGTGACTCATACAAAGCAGCCTGCAGAGTCAGTCTCTTTTCCACTGTTTTACTGCTGATTTGGGCAGAAACCCCACAGAAAATCAAGCAGTGTGTGGGGCTTTCAGCCCTGACTGGCTCCCAACCAGGTCTTCCTCACCAGAGCTCTTCTCTTCATTCTGTAATTGCTCCTGCTGAAACAAGGGAGCTCATCACAGTGAGAAGTACTTTAAGCAAGCCAAATAACTGGGATTTGGTCTTGCAAGGCATTGCAAGTCCTGTAAGATTTTCAAGGTTGGTAATGAGCCATTAGTTTCTAATGAAGATTGGAGCTGAGGCTTGTCTCAAAATGGTAACTTTTTTGTAACGAGATACTGCTATTGTCTTGGCTGAAGTGCAATAGTGCATCACTGGTTTCAGTGGGAACAGGCTGGGAGCTCTTTAGACCAAGTCTGTCATTATTTTACCTAGATCAGAAAAAGCCAAAGATTTTTTAAGAGTGGTAAAGCAGGAAATCTCATTTCCATTTCCAGAAAAGATTACGAAGAATACACCACAACCAAACATTGGGCCTGATCCTTGCACCTCACTCAATGTGTGTCTTCTCTCCCTATAGACTGCAGCATTGACATGAGAACATAAAAACCATTGAGCCCATGGGCCTGCAGGGACAAGGAAATAGTAATGGCAATTGCCATTGCAGTCCTGGTCTCTATGCAGGCAAAGTTGCCCATGGCTTTTTGGAAATAGAAGATCAGACAGAAGATCAGTCCCCCTTGAGCAGATATGCTGTTGTTCCCTGGGCTGGCTTCCCATTGGGGCTATGGGGGAGTCACAGTCCTACCCTGCCCAGTGACTGGAAATAGGGCTCCAGGAATTTTTATCTCCCCAAATAATTTCATGATTAAGGTGGAAATGCCATCACTGATAATAGGATGAGTCTGTGGGTCCAGATACTGTAAATGTAGCACCATTTTCTCAAATGTAGCACCATTTTTTCAAATGTCTACTGTTTCAAGAAAAAACTCAGAAAGTAAAATACAGGTGTCATGCTATACACAACTCCTGGACTTCTTCCATCATCTAACATGAGATGTTATTTGGGAAGAGAAGAGATCAGGTAGCCTCCTTTATGTTATTCCACTCAGGTGTTCCTGCAGATCTGAATTAATTTTGAAAATTAAAGCTGTATTTTACTGCAAGTGGGTTAATGTCAACTCCACTGTCAGGGCTAACCAAAACCTATCAAAATGCTCCCTCCTCTTTTACCTTGGTTCTTCCTAGAAATTATGAGTCAGCATATCTTTCTGAATGTGGCATATAGAAAAACCCTTGCATCTGCATTGTCTCAGGAAAATGAATGGCTAAGCTTGCTGTTACCCAAATTTTCTTCCTGTAAGAGAAGAATGCTTGGGGAAACACTTTGAAAGTATCACATTTTTAACAGGAGGGATCCAGCTTTATTTTTTTTACATACAGTGAATCATTGGGGAAAGTGATAATTGAAAATGTGACCACATAACAGAAAAAAAGGAACAAAGTCTCATTTAAAGCAACACGGACTAAAATTGGAAGAGTAACTCACCTAAATCCTTTACACTCCTCAATTGAGTGGTTTATTACTGAAGTGGGATTCTATTCAGTGAAGTTCTTTGTCTAATTTTTATACAGAATGTCACTGTGCAAAGAATTAATGGTGAAAATCCTCCCATGCGCAGGGTTAAAGGAGGGAGGCTGCATTAGAAGCGATCTATGGCAGAATCTGCCCCTCTAAGGATTAAAAGTCAGGATGAGAAGTTTCTCCTAGGGGTTTTAGAGCCAATGCTGGTCTTCAGAGCTTGTACAAGGCTCCCAGAAGCTGCTCAGGTCCTACACAACATCTCACACCTGGGTGAAGGGTCAGTGCCAGGGTATGAGGATCTGCTCTCAGCAACCCTCTCCCGTGGTTTTGTTGCAGTCAACACAGGAATGATAAAGATTTATGAGGCTGAAGCCTAGCAGATGGCATGTTTTCTAGCTTTAACAGAAGGCTTTGCCACATTTCACCTCTCTGAGGCACTCACTGGTCTTTTCCCTCAGCACTTGTGGGTTGTCACAGCACTTTTGGCTGAGTCTCTGCAGGGTGAGGTCAGAGCACGGTGAGGATGCTCCAGCCAGTAGTTTGGTTCCTGGCTTTGCAAGGGGAAGGGAGCTTGAGCACACTGTGTGCCACCCAGCCATAGGGCTAGAGGGAAAGGCCTCTTTTATTTGCTGGCTTAGACATAGCATATAAGATGTAGGCTTAAAAAGGGGGTAATTTTTTTTTTTTTACCAGCAACTTAATTTATGCAGTATTTTGACCTACAATAAAATCTAGTTTAAAATATATTTGTTAACACCTGTGCAACAGTTTCTTCATGAGCCGCATGCCTGAAGGTAGTCATCAATTACAGTGTCAGATTTGTGATTATCAGAATTGATAAAAATAGTGGAACTAGGAGTCTGGAATATCGATTTTTCTTTTGAATTAAATACCTTTGTATTATCAGTGAAATGATGCTGGGTTTCATAATACTTGCACATAATACAGTATTACTGATTCACAGCCTCTCCTCGTGAACCCAACTGCTCCAGCAGGCAGAAGTTTGATCCATTGCCCAGTCATAAACTGGGAATAGCACTAGTCCAAACTTTTTATATGGTACCATGCATATAAAAGTAATCTGTTTCAGCCCTCAAATACAAACAGAAATGGTAGTGATAAACCTTAACATAACCAAGATATAAGTGTAGCATAACTATAAATAAATGAACAGCAGCACTGCTTCTGAAATCTGCTGCACGTGCTATTGTTCTGAATAGATCAGTCACTGGTGGATTTGAACCTGAGAGAAGGAGTGTTCCAAACTCCAAACAACATTGACCTCCGATGGACACTAAGACATGGGATTGTCAGAAGACTGTATCCTGCTCTGAGACAGGCAGACAGCAAAGATGCACTTAAGTGATTTTTCTACAGAATGCAGTCCTGAAACAAGGAGGCAGAGAAACAATCCAGATTCCCCTCAGAGTTGCAGATGATAAGGAAAGTCCACATATTGTGGCATTTTACAGGCTTTTAGGAAAGAATACTGTGCTTTTTTCCCCCCTATTCCTGTTTTCCCTTTTAGCATTAGAATAAAAAAAAGAGCCCAGCTTAGAGAATGCTTCTACCCACAGTCTGATAATTTTTAAATGAGTCATTATTGTAAAGGGCTAATTTATAACTTGAAAATTAAAGCTACTGGGAACCTGGTGAATAACTGTAACAAGCAGCCTATTTGACCAGGCTATCTGTTTCTTTGGTTGTTGGAGGGAAAAAAGAAAAAAAAAAAAAAGTTTGTCCTCTTCATTACTCTTTGCCAGACTAAAGAAGAGAACAAACAAACAAGCAGGAAGGTGCCTTTCTTGGTCCAGTATTTCATCTCCATAGTGAATGATGATCTCTTTAGGCAGAATTACATGGGGAGCCTTCAAAAGTAAACAAAGGGACTCTGCTTAACTGGAAAATTTGCCAACTCTCTTCTTTCTAAATGCATCTAAACACACAAACACACAAGGTTATATTATATTTTATATATTTTTATTTGTATACAAAATGTTATAATTTATCAATGTTGTGCAGCAAAGTATAGATAGACACATACATCACATACATACATCCCCAAGCCCTTCCCTCCCCCAACACACACACTTAGAAATACGACACGAACACAACTTTCTTTCTCTCTGCCCTTCAGAAAGGCAACACTGTTTTGGCAGGTCAGCAGCTAGAAATAAGGTGCTATAATTAAGCAGTACCGGAATGTCTTCACTTTACAAATGCGATGTGCAAATTTATATACAACCACATTGTTATTTTTTTTCAGGGAACCCGAAACTCCATACCCCGAACCACTCTCCGAGATACAAATATGTATAAAGTGCTAATACTTAAGCATGTTTCCAATGACTTCACGACGTAGTTTGAAGTTTAGAACAGGCACTGTAATAGTTCACTGGGTAGATTGTCACTGGGTGCAGTTTGACAGAGAAAAGTCACTCAGACATCGCTGGGGGACCGGGAGCGAAAGGACACTTTAGCCTGAAAGCAGCCACAGAAGAGCACCCACATGGACCTCTGGATTTCCTGGTTTCTGTAGGCATAAATGATGGGGTTGATCATGGAGTTGTAGGTAGCAGGTAGGAGCGTGGCGTATGTGTACACAGAAGGGTAGTCAGGATCCCCCACCACACAGTAGATGGCAAAAGGCAGCCAGCTGGCTCCGAATGTCCCAAGGATGATAGCCAGGGTAGAGACTCCTTTTTTGGTGGTGACATAGTGCGAAGCAGTCAGAAAGTGCTGCTGGAGAGCTATCTGGTGGGCATGCCTGCAGACGATCTTGCAGATCTCGATGTAGAGATGGAGCATGATGAGGAAAATGAGAAAGAAAGAGGCAGACAGCAGCGTCACGTTACTCTTGGTCAATGGTCTGACGACGCTGCAGGAGGTGCGGTCGTGGAGGCAGTTCCAGCCCAGGACGGGCAGCAGCCCCAGGCAGAGCGAGACCCCCCAGGCACCCGCCAGCATGGTGTGAATGCAGAGCACCGTCCTCTCCGAGTAGTAGGTGAGGGCATTGTAGAGGGAGAGGTAGCGATCGACCGTGATGGCCAGCAGGCTACTCACGGAGGCGGCGAAGGAGGCGACGAGGAAGCCCACCGTCAGCAGGCTGACCGTCTCCGAGCGGATCACGTACTGGAACACGAAGTTGAGGATGAGGCCGAGGCCGGCCAGGAGGTCAGCCGTGGCCAGGCTGCCCACCAGCACGAACATGGGGGTGCGCAGGGCGGGCGAGTAGCAGATGATGGCAACCACCAGGGCGTTCTCGCAGGCGATGGCGGTGCCGGACACGCAGAGCATCACATCCCATGGGTTGAGGGCGGCGGGCGCGGGGGGCCGCGACGAAAGCTCCAGCGAGGCGTTGCCGCCGCCGGCCGGGAGCCGCGGGGCCGCCGCTCCGCTCTCGTTCAGGGCTGCCGCTGCCTCCATCGCCGCCCGGGCGGCCGGGGCTGTGCGGGGACCGCGGCGGCGCGGCTTGGGCAGATGGGGCGGCGATGGGACGGCGGTGGAGCGGCGGTGGGGAGGCGATGGGACGGCGATGGGACGGCGATGGGACGGCGGTGGGGCGCGCATGCCGGGCGGCGGCACCGCGCCCGCCCTGTCTGTGGTGCTGAAGCCGCAGAAGTTTCCCGCCGGCCCGGCCGCCCCCGCGCCCCGCCCCGCGCACACGTCAGGGGCGGGCCGGGCCCGGCAGGGCAGCGGGGTGGGCACCGGGGCTGCGGGGAATGCGCTGGCCCGCTCTGCCCGCCCGGCTCCGGGACACGCAGGGTTTGCTCGGGGGCAGCGGGAGAGCGAAGTGGCCACGCACACACACACACACACATACACTCACACACTCACACTCACACACACACTCATACACACGGAGCCGCTTCTCCCGCTGCTTTCCCCCCGCTCCGCTCCGCAGCTGTTTCTCCCGCGGTGGGCGCCGTCCGTGTGCAGCGCTTGCTGTAAGGGCTCTGAGCGCAGCGGGAGCTCCGTGCTGCGCCGGGGGAAATGTGCCCGGAGAGCGCTCGGAACAGCTGCGGAAAAGCCTGTTCCACAGTTACGCTCTATACTCTAGGGCTGACAGTCTGTTCACCACTGAAAGCATCCGCACTGTTTTCTGAGGTCTCCGAAACGATACGGTCAAATAGAAGACTCAATTCCATGAACACGAAAGATATCAGCTCTCTCCTTGTCTCACCCTTTGTGTCTCACAACGAAGCAGCAGCCAGCACATTTCCACTCTAAAGCACGAACAGATGAAGCAGAATCACAGAGGGGATCTCTGGAGCTCATGCAGTCCAACCCCCCTGCCAAGGCAGGGTCAATATATGACACAGGATGTGGCACAGGAAGACGTCCAGGTGGGTCTCCCTCTCTCTCTCCAGACAGGGAGACTCCACAACCTCCCCGAGCAGCCTGTTCCAGTGGACTGCCACCCACTCTACACATAAAGAAGTTCTTCCTCAGGTTGAGGTAGAATTTCTTGCGTTTTAGTGTACAGCCATTGCTCCTCATCCTCCACTGAGCAACACCAAAAACAACCCGGCACCATTCTCACGACACCGGTCTTTGAGATATTTATACATATTGACACAGTCAAAGGATAACCTTCTTGTGCCCATTGTTGGCAAAATCAGTATCAAACAAATGTGGGCAGTGGGTAGCTTCCCTCTACAGCAGCACAGCTTTCCTAAGGGACAAGCCAAAACGTGTCCCCACCTCAGTCTGGGAGACTATGTTCGTTCTCTGACAATCAAAAGAATGTGGAAATAAAATAACCTCTCAGTTATGGGAACAGCATGCAAACAATCCAGACACAATTTTGAAAAATACATTAGAAGAAAATGTGTTTATTGTCTTGAACAGTCCAAATGAAGAAAGCATGCAGGCTGTGCCACAGTAAAAGGTGGGCACATTCAAAAAGAATTAGTGTCAGCACTCATTACATCCAGCCCCATCAATGTCCTCCTGCAGGCTAAACACTATCATCAAGCTCTGGACAATCTGTACCTCTGTAAACAACTGAAGCCATTGCTCCCCAAGAATTCTGAAACACAGATCTCTGAAAAGCTTAATTTGGAAGGGACAAGTGGAGGTCAGGTCTGAGGCGTCTCTCCTGTCCCACCACCTGCTCAGAGGAGGGACAGCATCAACTCTGCAAAGATTTTCTTCAGGGTCTCATTCAGTCAAGTCTGAATATCTCCAAGGAAGAAGACTGCACAGCCTCTCTGGGCGACCTGTGGGTTTGCTTCACCCTCAACTGTAAAGATGTTTCCTTTTTATTTAATTTTTTATTTATTGCCTTCACTGCAACTTGTGTCCACAGTCCCTGTGGAGTGTTCTGCCGTCTGTAGGTTTTCTCTCACTTGTCCAGGCATTACAACAGCATCAGTAACCGCAGCAAAACCAGCTTCAAGCGGAGTTAAGAAGGCTTTGCAAGTCTTCTCAACTCAAGCACTTGGTCGAGTACCCCTACTATAGTTCAGAACATAACATTTACCCTATACCCTCTGCCAGCTGCAGAACAGGTATGTAAATGTAGACTTGGCCAATGTAAACTTGGATTAGGATTAATAAATCACAAGAATCCCAATGAAGAAAGAGCTGCTACAGAGCAAGGCAACAGAAGGCAAGGTAGAACCTGAGGTAAAGTAAAATTCTGTGTTTGCCCAAAGGAAATCCTGCAGTCTACCCCTCAAACAGAAGTGGTTAATTTCAACATTAATTAATATGACTGTGGCTGAATAAATTATTCCAAACATCTTTCAAAATTGATTAAAAATGCTGCCATTCAAACTTAGCAAGTCAGGTTTGCAAACATGAACCAGCTGGGGTCTACTATGAAGCTGTAAGATCTGCAGTATTTTTTACGGCATCTATAAAGCAGAAAGAGAAATGTAGTTTATCTGGTTTTCAGTAATGAGATGTGGAATGGAAAGTCTTGGTTGTGGGCAATTTGTCACATCTTTGGCCAACACGTTACCACTAGGAAACAAGTATGTGGCAGGTCTTGGCTACAATAACGTGTATATCATAGGGCAATGTATTTTTTTTTAATATATATATTATGGATTTTTTAAAGTTTTCCTTAAATGAAAATATTAAAAGCCCATGCTGCCAAGGCAGAAGTAATTTCAAGTGTGGTGAATCCTTGTGAGAGGGTTCAGACTTCAGAGTGAGATGAGTTTTTAGCCTGAGAGTGGGTTAATCTCACAGCCCATGCCTGTGGTCACATTTCACTCCGAGAAAGAATTGCTCAACCACTGTAGGATGTCTCTGAACAAGAGATGCACATGTCAGGCTTGTCTTTGCTCCTTGTGTCAAGCTTTTTCTGAGTTCTTCCAGTTCTTTAGCTCCTTCATTTCCATGGGCTTTTACCCTTTCAGGAAGGATGCTCTTACAGTCAGGTTCTTACTGAGCCCAGGGAATAGTGCTGCGCATCTTCCTCATCTCCCTCCCCTTGCCGAGTATCAATTGGCAGGGTTCGGGACCAACTCCACGCTTATTAAAATAGTTATACCTCCTTGGGAACTGTTTGTATTTCCAGAACTATCATTAAAGGCCTTTTATCTTCTTAGTAGAGATTCCTGCATCAGTCATTCCAACAAAAGGTGAGCCACCTGGATTGCTCTTAATTTTAACTGGTTGTGGGAAAAAAGAGGATTCAAAGAGTAGATACAGAGCTGGTGCCTAAGAGCCACCACATTTCCCACAGCACCATAAGGTGCAGCAGAGAGAAAAGTCTGGTCAGACCTCTTGCATTGCCATGAAAATATTTTCATCTTGCCCTCCTGTCTGACGCTAGATCTGCAGGTCTCACAGGAGAATATAAATATAAAAAGCTATGTTCCAGCAGCGCATACCTAAGCATCGTGTATGATATAACTCAGTAATTATCTTAGTGAGTTTCTGAAAATTAAGCAGCAACAAAATTAAAAAGTTGCTGAAACAAATGATTTTAAAACCTCTCTGCTTGAATTCTCCATCTGTTCTGAGAGCTGAGCAGTATTGTAGTGTAATTTTAATTTATGATTACTTAATTTCAGTTAACTATGGATTACTTTGCTAGCTGATATTTTTAATGATTAATAAGTAGGCTGAGTAAATGTTAAGTATTATTAAATGTGCTTTACATAGCACATAGAGTTGGAACCACCAAAAATTTCTCTTCAAAATTTATCTTTCCAATAACATGCTGAAAATATTGAAGAGTCATTTTTCTTCTGGCAATATAAAGAAGCCTTAAAATAAAGGCAGGAGGAGGGGAAGGGGGGGATAACACAGATGGTGAGCTAACCAGTGCTGGCATTTCAGAGATGTCTATGCAGCTGATGTGAAAAGATGTTTCAAGCCCTTAGCAATCCATTTAGGCACTTCTTCAGGTTTATAATTTTCCTGACTTGGTGAACTCAGCTGAGTCACCTGCTGATACCAATTTCTAGGTTTTCACTAGTGATACCCTCTCCTCTGCTTGATCCTTCATATTTGCAAATATGCTACACCAGCAAACATGCCATATTGCAAAACCTACTGGTGACATAAAAGTCAAAGGGCTTCAAACACCATTTTGAATTTCAAGCTCATCCTCCACAGTCCCATTTCTCCACTACACATTGTGTTTCCCACATGGACCTTGATTGTACTGCTTGATGGAGTACTCGTGGTGCCACCACTCCTTTTTGATAAGTTTCCAGCTGCTTGGCTGCTGTGCCTCTCATAAAAACACATTCCAGAAAACAGCCTGCATGTCTGCAAAATCTGTTTCACTTGCACAGTAAGGCTGTGTGGTTCTGCATAAACGCAAGAAAACAGCTATCACACTTTTTCTAGTACATGCTTGGGTTGAAAATCCTGGTTTACTCTGTTGCATTCACAAGGCTACATTTCTCTAATGGATTTTATGGGTGCCTTGGCAAGTGATACTGCATCTTAAGTGGTCTCTGAATCACTAGCAGAAAGTACAAACTTTACATAAGCAGGTGAAAATCTGCTTTCAATAATGTTACAAATACCAGTCATCAGGAATGGATTCAGGCTGAGCCATTTGAAATTTTGGTTTTGAGATAGAATTCCCACCCAACCTCTCCTGGTCCTGCCCCACTCACAGTTTCAGCAACCCTTGGCTGACAGTGGCAGGGTTCAAGGCTTTGATTCCTCCTCCTCCCACTCCCACTCCCACTGCAGACAGGATGAGTTTTGGATGCAGCTTTAACCTCTTAAGCTTAGTCAGACAGAGACGCCTTTTCTGAGTGTTCACCACCCAGGGATGTTTATTTTGTTTTTGTAGCCCTTGAGCTTTCATATCATCATTTAGAAAGGTACTGTGAGAGCTATCAACACATGTGCTTAGCAATCTCCACATCTGTCACCCCACTGCCAGCAGCCAGCCAGGCAAAGGCAGAGGAGCTGGCTTAGCGCCCAAAGGAATAACTTTAGGCCAG